TAAAGATGGAAGGTAAAGAAGGTCACTTGGGAAGGACGACTGTACATGATCAATGTCCACAGGAGTAGTAGAGGATCCAAAGAAGGGAACTGATTCAAAAAAGGAGACATCCGCCGAGATAAAGTATCGACGTAAAGTGAGAGAGTAGCAACGGTAACCCTTCTGAGACCGAGGATAACCCAGAAAAACACATTTATGAGACTTGGGAGCTAATTTATCCAAACCTGGACCAAGATGATGAACAAAACATGTAGAACCAAACACATGTGGAGTTAAAGGATATAAAGCCTGATGGGGAAATAAAATAGAGTGAGGTACCTTATGATTGAGAACAGATGATGGCATGCGATTAATGAGATAACATGCAGTAAGTACAACATCACCCCAGAAGGTGTATGGAACATTACCATCAATTAACAAGGCACGAGTGGTTTCAACCAGATGGCGATTCTTGCGCTCGACTACACCATTTTGTTGAGGTGTATGAGGGCAAGATGATTGATGAAGAATGCCATGAGATGAAAAGAAATGTTGAAATTGATGAGATAAGTACTCACATGCATTATCACTACGAAAAGTACGAATATGAATATCAAACTGAGTTTTTATTTCATTATAAAATAACTGAAAAATAGAAAACAACTCAGACCGCTTTTTCATTAAAAATAACCAAGTACATCTGGAATAATCATCAATAAAAGTAACAAAGTACTTAAAACCCAAAGTAGAAGACTGACGAATGGGTCCCCAAACATCAGAGTGGACCACAGAAAAAGGAGAAACAACTTGACGACTAAGACGACTCAGAATCGTACTACAAGTATGTTTCCCAAACTGACAAGACTCATAATTTAAAGTAGAAAGAGACGATAAATGGGGAACCATCTTCTGAAGCTTTGCAAGACTAGGATGGCCCAGACGAGCATGAATAGTAAGAGGAGAATCCACAGAGGAGCAGGCTGAAGAAGAGGGAACTAGTTGATAGAGGCCCTGAGACTCACATCCTTTGGTAATCTCTTTCCCCAAACTCCGATCCTGAAAGATGACAGAGGTTTTAGTAAAAGAAATAACACAGTCAATGGATTTGGTCAAACGACTAACAGAAAGTAAGTTAAAAGAAGAATCGGGCACATATAGAACATGATCCAGAGATAAATTGGGTAAAAAAAGAACCGTGCCAATCCCCCTTGATTGGACCAGAGACCCATTGGTCATAGTAATTGTTGGAAAAGAACCAGTAGTACAAAGGGAAGTGAATAAGGACTTATTACCAGAGATATGATCAGAAGCCCCAGAATCAAGAGTCCAAGGGCCTATAGAGTGCAACTGAGAGATGCCAACAATAGAATTACCAGAGGGAGCAATGGATGCAGTAGGACCTGATGTTTGCTTCTCAGACCACCAAGTCACAAATTCATTCAGAAGAGCAGCTGGAGGTTGTGCACCAGAAGGTAACTCTGGAGCAGAGGTACTAGAGAAAGCCTGAGCAAGATAAGCATTCCGAGGAGGTGGAGGTGGCCTGCCATGAAGCTTCTAACAGCGGTCAACAGTATGATTGGTCTGATGACAATGAGTGCATAAGAGCTTTCCTTTAGAGAATCGACGTCCACGACCATACCCTTGAGCAGCAAAAGCGGAAGGGTCAACAGAATCTTCTCGACGTCCGCGACCATATCCTTGACCAGCAAAAGCAGAAGAGTCAACAGAATCTTCTCTACGTCCACGACCATACCCTTGAGCAGCAAGAGCGGAAGAGTCAACAGAATCCACTGGGGGTATAGGCAGCATAGGAGGTGCTGATGATGTAGAGGGCTTAGAGGGAATTCTAAGCAAGGTAGACATCACAGAATCCAGTGTAGGAACTGTAGCAGATCCTAAAATTTGATCCCGATTGGTAGACAAATGGTCAGGCAAACCATATAAAATGAACAGCATAAACAGTGTATTACGTTGTTCCTGTTCCTTAGAAACATCACCAGTGAGAGGCAGAAGTTCATTAAGATCATGAAGTAGACTCTGAGCTTTCCCCAAATATTCAGTCATAGGACAATTGAAGTCCCGAGGAGCAAAGGTAGTCATCAATTTCTGACACACCATAGAGTCTCTGGGTATCATTGGTATACAGTGCTTTGGCCTGACTCCAAATAGCTTCACAAGTAACAGCAGGTCGAAAAATCTGTTTGATAGACGGATGAAGAGTAGCTTTAATGAGACTACACAACTGAGCATCAATCATCTGCCACCGTGTGCGCTCCTTTTTCGCCACAAATTCAGCCTTAGTGGTGAGATGTGATGTATAATTCTGCCCATCCAACCAAAGTCGCAGATCGGAAGACCAAGTATCATAGTTGGACCCATCCAATTTATCCACACTCAACGGAGCAAGGATATAATTGGAAAAAATAGTAGACTCCGACTTTTGTCCAGCCGGAGTCCCAGAACCAGAAACATTGAAGATAGGAGAGTTCATAATCAAAGAAAAATCAGAAAGAACAGATCGTACAACTAATCGGTAGAAGAGGGATCTGTGCATCAACGCAAAAAGTTGTCAGAACAGAAAAACAAGAGCGGATCCAGAAGCGTCTTAGCAAGACGAACAAGACGCAAAAAACCGCGGCCAGAAAAGATGCTTCACGCGCCGCCAGGTTGAGGAGCGTGCTGAAACCTTGCACGCGCGCGTGAGAGCGCGTGGGAGGTCTTCTGGGGAAGCGGCCGGTGCCGGTGTGACTGCGTTGTCGAGACGATCACGGCGGTGTGTTGCGTGCCTGAAAATTCCACCGGATGGTGATGGTTGACGGTACAGAAGCGTGAAAGGAGAAGAAAAATCGTCTGAAAACTGACAACGAGACAGTTCTAGGAAAAAATTTGAAAATACGATGAACAGTGGGTTCACCGGAAAAAAAAAAATTCAACGTTCCTTAGGCTCTTGATACCATGTTGAATAACGAGAGAGAAGAGAGGAACATTGAAAATAATATTGTGTATATTGATATAATGAAGCATTTACAATATATAGACACTCTAATGGGCTAAGCCCAAACCTAATACAAAAGAAATAAAGAAACCCTAATTACATAAGAAATAAGGAAACCCTAATACAATATATTTCTAACATAAAGCATATTAACACGTGAATTAAATTGATAATTGAACCATCCTTATATTGGAGCTAACATACATCAAATCTTGCTCTGTTAATCCACTTACAAGATAAAGAAAAAAGTACAAAAATACAAAATTAGAAGAAGAACGAAACATACTCTGTGAAGAAGAAGAACGAGTAGAAGAAAGAAGAAAGAACGAAACCATACATCAAACCTTTTCTTTTCTAAGAAAATGGCAACCTAGAACCATTTTCTGTATACTTAGAAAAGAAAAGGTAAGAAAGAAAGGTGTTCTTGGGAGAAATACTAGAGTTCAAATACCATATTGAATTTGAAGAGAAACTGATATATTGAAAAACTGATTCAATCGATTACAAATACTGATACTTATATCAGTAAAGAATGAATAACTAACTAGAATTGAATAACTGACATTAACTAACTACTAACAGTAACTATTAACTAGTACAGTAACTACTAACAGTAACTATTGACTAGTACTGTGATAGTATCAATCACATCTTCTTTTGAAACATAGTTCGCGGATTCCCCATTCCTTTTATAATAACTCCCATCTAATTCTTTCATCAACATAAACTCGTTCTTGTAATTTCTTGTAATTTCTTGTAATTTTTTCTTTCTTCTACTCGTTCTTCTTCTTCACAGAGTATGGTTTCGTTCTTCTTCTAATTTTGTATTTTTTTTCTTATAAGCACTCGTGCTATTAGTGCTTTTCGATCATTTAATTTCCACGTTAACTTGCATTTTTATTTTCTTCTTCAATAATTTGTTATTGTTACCCTAATTAATGAATTGAATATTTGTTTTGTTTTGTTCGTTGCAGCTATCACTTCCAAAGATTACGTGTTTTTCCTGGAATTACTTAGTAGCTTGACATGGTAACTCCCGAGTCTTCTGCGAATTTTAAATTAAGAGCATTCCATGAATTTCTGATTTTTTATTGCGTGAAACTGAACTCCTAAAAGGTAAGGGTGTTCATCAACCGATCCAGATCGATTCAAACCGCGGTGACCGAACCGAAAAATCGATAATCGAAAAAACCGAAAACTGAAAAATCAAAAACCGAAAAAAAAAACCCGCAAATTTTAATTGGATTGGATCGGATTTCGGATTGGTTGATGAAAGCCGATCTAATCCAAACCGATCCAATATATTAATTTCCATCTACCTACTTGGGTCTTTCTCCCGTCATAGATCAAAAATTTCTAAATCCAAGGCCCATTAACCCATCAGCTAAACTCAAGAAAAAAATCTAGTCACATCTCGTCAACAAAATTTCATCTGTGTAGAGCTTCATATCTCATTCTCCAAAAAAAAACTATATTATCGTTTACTGATGTTTTTGTATTTCAAAATAATAATAATTTACAAAGCCAATATATACAAAAGATGTTATTTACACAATAATCTTGAAACAAATTTTAGGATTTTCAAAAAATTAAAAACCGATCCAATCCAAACCGAACAAATTGGATTGGATCGGATCAGATCATATTTGAAAAAAAAATTCAAACTGAAAGGATGATTATGATCAAACTGAAGGGATTGGATCGGATGATTTTTACTTCCAAAACCGATCCAATCCAAGACCTCGAACACCCTACTAAATGGTGCTGGTTTTAATATCAAAATTTTCAATGATAAGTCAACGTGAATTGCTCTTTCATTAGCATTAGTATTTTGTTATTTGAATTCTAAAAGAGTAAAATAATTATGCTGTTTTTGTCTTAATGAATTGCATTAGCTAAGATTCTGGGTGGACTTAAAACGCTCATATACATATATAGTATCCTAGTTTATTTTCTGATTCCTCTATCCTCCTTTTGAATATATCTAAAGGGAAAAGATCAATCCCAGCCTCCTTGCCTAACAGATATGGAGCCAGATAGAATCAGTTACTTACCAGATCGTGTAATGGATCAAATTCTCTCATATGTGCCGAATAGGGAAGCAGTGGGAACAAGTATTTTATCCAGAAAATGGAGGTACAAATGGGCCACAGTACCAAATCTTGTGTTCGATAACGACACTCTATTGTATTATACCCTGGACTCTTCCATTGACATGAACAAGCTTGTGAGTTATATTGATCATGTACTCTTACTTCATTCTGGGCCAATCAAAAGTTCAAGGTCTCCAATAGTGAACTTACTGCTGTCAGCGATATTGATCGTTGGACTCTTCATGCATCCAGGAGGTCAGTTGAAGAGTTTGTGCTGGAAATCTGGAAAGGGCAACACTATAAGATACCCTCATGCTTATTTTCTTGTCAAAGTTTGAAGCATTTAGAGTTACTTAATTGTTGGCTTAAACCTCCATCAAAATTTCAAGGCTTCAGGATCTTGAAGAGTCTTGATCTGCAAAATGTTACCTTGGCTCAAGATGATTTTCAATATAAATATAAATATAAATAGGATGCTTCTCTTTTTAGTGAAAAATATAAATAGGATGCTTCTCTCACAATCTCACCCTAACCCCTAGAATTTCTTGAGATTGTTCTCTTGAGATTACATATATACATACATAATTCGTATGTTAAATTTCAGCCACAAAACTGGAGTTTACGACGTTTCAGAACTTAATGTTCCCTCTTTTAAGTAGATGAATCTAACAAAAAATATAAGGGAAAAATGTGTGTCATTTTGAATGACACATTTTATATTCTTTTACTCTCACAAAGAAGTGGAACCCACACTTTTAAAACTTTTTCCTCCCACTCTCTCTTCCATGATTTATCTCTTTCTCTCACTTAAAATGACATAACTTTGTACTCTTTAAAATGATACACATTTTTCCCAAAATATAAATAGAATCCACCGTTTGTTTCCAAACTTTATTCAAAAAGAGAACCAGAATTCATATTCCTATCTAAAGACCCTACAAGATCCATGACGATTAGAATCCAGAAAAAGCTTCTAGCCACGAAGTGAGGTGGAGGGATAATTACCAAACTAGCGAATGTATATAAATATACTTGCACACCATTATTTTTTTACCACTTTCAAGTATTCGTGGTTTGGCAGAAAAAACTTTTTGATAACATCTCAACTGTAATGAGAGCTTAGGTATTAGTATTAAACATCGCAGCAGCTTCTTCCTATCATAAAATGTACATAAAGCTTTGTTTTTAAACACACGATAGCTTCTTCCTATCATTGAATGCCATGACTTAAATAGTTATCAGTTAAGTGTAAGTCAAACAAAATAAGTCGGGGGATGGTATACATTCACCAAAAAGAAAAGCATTAAGAAGATTCCTGAAAAATAATCTCAGCTTGTGGTGAAGCTCTCCTGAACTGCAATAGTTCTTTCATCAACATCAACTCTAACATGCCGTTTAACACAGCCTTCACAGTCATCCTTTCTAGCACAGGAGAATGTAGAAGTAGAAAGCTGATAAAATCTAATTCAGATTTAACACCAGTGATGCCATGTATCCTCACATATCGCAAATGCATGACTGGAACTGGACAGCTCAACCGGTCATCTTCCCAACAATAGTTGCGTTTAAATAGAACAGTCTCCTCCTCAGTTCGAGCCTACAAGCAATTGTAACTCACAAGGGTAAAAATCTAAGAAACTCCCAAGACTAGATCCAGAACTTGAAAGAGACCAGACAACTCTGCTCAAAGCTAAAAAACTTTGCAAATTCGATATAGCTTAATAACTTCATATAAATAACAAAATCTATATGTGAACCCGCTAATTAGCCTGGCAAAATCAAATCACACTAAACTTATAATGACTAATGAGTATTCACCAATATTTCTAGTTCTTGTAGATTAGGTGAGCTTCGTAACAGGCACAGAGCAGCTGAGATTTCCTTCGAATCATTGAAGTTTATGCGAATGGAAAGAAAACTTAGATCAATGCATGGTCTAGGAAGCTTTGGTGGCACAACCCCTACTGCCAAATACTGGAACAGAAAGAAGAAAACAAAATTATGGCTCTAAATCATTATATAGTGTATTTGATACTTACAGATCAAGAGTTGCATGCACAAGAGTGTTGTTCATTTTAAATTTATTCGCAAAAAACTAGCATCGGGCAATTCTTCAAATGCTCAAAACTTTGGACAGATATTATTCACAGATCTATATGAATTGCTCTGACAATGTGATACTATGAGCATCGTACCTTTGAAAAATAGCTTTGAATCTCCAGCCTTCGTATGTGAGGTAGATGAACAAAAAAATTGAGCAAATTGCTAGAACCTCCACGCTGATTGTTTTCAAAGGTCACATCCAAACCAATGGATACCACAGCCAATCGGAAAGTGTTCTCAAAGCTAATATCCTCAAAATTACCTTCAATGTAAAAAAACCGGAGATTTGGTAGTGTGGCCCATTTGTACCTCCATGTTCTGGATAAAATACTTGTTCCCACTGCTTCCTAATCGGCAAATATGAGAGAATTTGATCTATTACATGATCTGGTAAGCAACTGATTCTATCTGGATCCACATCTGTTTGGCAAGGAGGCTGGGATTGTTCTTTTCCCTTTAGATATATTCAAAAGGAGGATAGACGAATCAGCAAACAAACTAGGATACTATATATGTATATAAGAAGGGTTTTAAGTCCACCCAGAACCTTGTCATTGAAAACAGCATAATTATTTTACTCTTTTAGAATTCAAATAACAAAATACTAATGGTAATGAAAGAACAATTCACGATGACTTATCATTGAAAACTTTGATATTCAAATCAGCACCTTTTAGAGTTCAGTTTCACGCAATGAAAAATCAGAAATTCATCGAATGCTCTTAATTTAAAACTCGCAGAAGACTCTCGGGAGTTACCATGTCAAGCTACTAAGTAATTCCAGGCAAAACACGTAATCTTTGGGAGTGATAGCTGCAACGAACAAAACGAAACAAATCTTCAATTCATTAATTAGGGTAACAATAACAAATTAATGAAGAAGAAAATAAAAATGCAAGTTAACGTGGAAATAAAATGATCGAGAAGCACTCATAGCAATACCTAAGTGAAAGTCGCACTTGATAACACGAAGTGCAGGGAAATCAATGACAAATTGGTGGAGCGAAAGCCACTGCTGGAGAGAACGGTTAGATCCGATAGTGTCTCTGAGTCGATTGAAACTGAGATTATACACAGAAAAATCAGCAGCAACAGTATTCAAATTTCAAAACTCGACCTAGATTGAAGATGGGGATTTAGAGTACGTTGGAGATCGAAGGTATGGTTGGGTATCCAGGCCCAGCGTAAGGATTTAGCAACAGAAAGCCACTGTAGGAGGATTTTGTTTTTATTTTTTTGAGGATGTTGTAAAAAGAGATACGTACCAACAGGAATTTCAAAGGATTTTATTAATATTCAATTAGAATTTTAAAAGATTGAAAAAAAATTATGTGCATGGTAGTTAAAAACTTAAAATCTAAATTTAAATTTGCGTTCTTACGATTTTATGATTTTTTTTAATTAAAACAATTTCATCAAACTTTTAGGTTTTTATGATTATTTACAAGTTTTTTATGTTAAGATTTTATGTTTTATGAATTTTTTTTCCTTCTGATTTTAGGTAAAATTTCAATTTTAACTACCATGGTCACGTGGTAATTTGATTAAGATTTTAAAAGATTATTTTAGAGTCCGTTCAAATCTGTTTGTATTCAACCAAGATTTTAAACAAAGGAAAAATAATCTTGTGATATTAAAAAATCTAACGATTTTAATGAATTTTCTATTGGTATAAATTTTGTGAGACTTTTTAATAAGAAATATAAATAGAAGGTCTCTCTTAAACTCTCACCCTAATCCCTAGGATTTCTTGAGATTTATCTATTATAGTGTTTTCTTCTACTTTTGGCGGGTTGACCCGCTCAAAATCAGGTTCTGCTATGGAAGCTTCGTCAAAGCTCAAAAATAGCATATTTTTAACGTTTCTCATCAAAAAAACAACCAAGAAACAACAAACAAACAAGATACTAATATAATCCATCTCAAAAACAACATATTTTTGAGAGTTTTTGAAAGTTTAAAAAATAATTTTTCAAGTTATTGGTCGCGATTTCCTTTTGCACAAAAAGTATGATTTTTATATTAAAAACAATATAAAACAGTGGGAAAACAATAGGGGAACAAGAACTAACACTCTCAAACTAATTTTTGTTTTACATCAATCAAACAATATTAATTTTAAGAAAAATTGAAACTTTCATAATATGAACCATATATTTCGTAACAATACATTCATGAACGAAATTCTTTCATTATAGAAAATGATTTCAAACAATTTTTGTGTCAATAAATAACTAAAAACATATTTTTCAAAAGCCTCAAAGCAATTTAAGATTTTAAAGTATCGATTGAAAATTTTCTAAACTTTCATGTAATAAAACCCAAAAATTTAGATTTATAATTTTCTTAGAATACTCAATAAAAACATATATATGATATATGGTTAGAAAACTCTCATCACGTATAACAAAAACTCCAAGGTTTTCAAGATTAATTGCAAAAATTTCCAAACGAAATTTTATCATGAACTTTAGGTTTTATATGCAAATTTAGAATTGTTTTAATAAATACAAAAATTGGGTCTCATAATCACATATGCATAGCTGTAATAGAAAATGTAGAAGATAATTTTTAATTCATTAGTCAAACTCAAAAGCACGAACGACACGTGGAGTACTAATATAACTGTTGATATGTGGAGAGTTATTGCTTAATAATTTTGAATGTTTGTTAAAAAATTATATTGTATGTTACTGATTAAGAAAAATATATTCGATTTTACTTTTTTAATTAATATCATTGCATTTCTTTGTTATTTTTTATTGACTCTTATAATTTTGAATGTAGGTTAAAAATTCATTTGATTTTTTAGAATCTTATAATTTCATATTGTCCTTTCAAATCTTATAAATTCGATTAAAATTCTTTAAAATTTAATTTTGTGAAATCTTGATTGCAAAAAAAGATTTTTAAAAAAGTCTTTAAAATACCTCTAATTTTAAATAGTCTTTTAAAATCTGTAAGATTTTTTATCTAAAAAAATTTGTTTAAAATTCTAATCCAATACACCCCTTAAAAATCACGAGAGAGAAAGTAGGTGATTTTTTTTAAATTAAATTTTAAACAAAAAAACTAATTTTAAATAAAATGACTATCATTTAAAAGGATAAATATTTTTTTTAACACAAATTATGGTTTTATTTTTTTCTCTAAACATAATATTTCTAGATGTATCATTGCTTTGAATCAAGTGAGATTACATATAATGAATTAAAAAGTAAATAATAATAATTTTTATTTTAGTGAGCATATATTATTTAATAATATTAACGTAAAATTTTACTTAATAGTAAAATAGTAAAAAAAATGTTATTAACATATTTTTTTATAATAAATAAATATTATGTTTACTATACTATTTTTTCTATGATTACAAAATTATTTTGTGATAACCTATAAAAAGATTTAGTAGAAAGTTAATGTAATCTTATTAGATTAATCAATAAAAAAAATTGGGCCATCGTTCCTCCATTGTCTAATCTAAATTATTTTTTCAATTTGAAATTCACTCGAATAAGGGGTGACAAACACAACTCAAACATGACACATAATTTCCGTGTTTAGGTCGACTTGTATTCCTGTTTGTGCCATGCTCGTGTTAACAAAATAAGATTGGAATAAAAATTGTATTGTGTCTCATCGCTAATCCAAAATACACCTATAATTTCATAATTATATATTTAGCCTTTCTTTACTTATTACTTTAAGGATATTAAACTAATTTTCTAATATAAAACTAAAAAGGAAAAGGTATCCCTAAACCATTTTAGTAGTATTTGACACAATTTTTTTAAGCTAAAAGCTAATTTTAAATTGTTATAAAAAAGAAGAAGCTAATTTTAAATTAAAGTTAAAAATAAAGCTAAAAGTTGTTTGATTATTATATAAACTTATTCTTAGGATTTTGAAGGGAAGGAAATGAAATTATTTTTTATTAGGGTAAATGATAAGATTTAGAGATAGAATATTATTACTACTACCAATTTGTTTCACCGTTAGATTGATTATGTGGATCCAATGATCTTGATTTATTTTTACCTTTGTATGGTTATCATTAAATGTGGAGAATCATGTTGGGCAAGTGGCTTCTTACACAAGACGCTTACGGAACACTTAGAGGGGGGTGAATAGGTGTTCTGAACTTTTTCAAAAACTTTTTGAATTCAGTAAACAATTACACAATTTTTCTTCAGTCCCTATATGCCCAAAATAATTTTTCACAATGCTAAGAACAATGTAGTAACAGAATGCGTACCTTAACAATATATAGAGTATAAACGCAGCAATGTAATTTTCTTAAACAAAACAAAAAATGATTAATTTCCAAATACCAGAAAACAGTTTAAGTGCAACAGCAATTATAATAGAATCGGTAAGGTGCTACAACACTCTTAAACTAGAATCAGTGTAACTGTCAGTCTCTAAACAAAATATTCAGAAATTAAATCAGAGAGACAAGAGACACACGATATATCCTGGTTCACACCCACTAAGCCTAAGTAGGGTGCTACGTCCAGACTGAAGTAGCTGCAGATATTTTGTTTATCACAAGTATACCTGTTTTACAAACACGCGTCACACATGCAATCAAACAAGATATCAAAAATCTTCCTAGTGCCTACACTGCTCCAAGCTCTGAGAATACTCTCAAGCCGAACCTATGGAGTTCACCAACTCCTCTCACACAAGACCTCCACTCTCCCTAGTGGATTCTTGAGGCTCCAGGCCTTGAGACACACTCTCAAGCCAAGTACAAGGTCGCTAACCCACTCGGTTGCACCCACACACCTAGGACAAATTTACAGCACGCAACTACTCCACTTTAACTACCAATACAGAATTTTGAAGAACTGTAACAAGTGAAATAATCCAAAAATACAGTGTCCTATCACACTAAATATATCACAGTAATATCAAGCTAAGCTCCACAAATTTATGCCATATGCAGAAAATTAAACCAATGACATATGTATGAAAATCTCTAAAACTAATGGACCAAGGAGCTTGGATATTACACAATTAATTTTCTAAACAATGGACACCAAGAAATCTGATTTAAACAGAAAATATCGCAATTATAACTAGAAAAATCAGATTTGAAATTTATCTCAAAATTTCACAAAAATTAGAATTAGTTCTCGATAAATCTTTTGATAATAAACCACAAGAAATCTGAATTTTAATCACAATATACTTCAATTAAAATAGAAAATTCAGATGTAATATCCCAACAATAAAATTTTTAGAACAATTCAAGATATTTAATATTCAGATTAAACAACTCAAAATCCCTAAAGCATTATGAAATAATAGATCTAGAAATTTCAGATAAAATGCTTCAAATAAAGATTCACAAAGGATTTGAGTTGATTAGAAAATACCACAATGAAGCCCTAAATTCTTTATCAAAGATCCCTAAATTTTTCTCCAGGAAAATATGCAGCCACCAAAATAAAGTTGAGAAAGGGTTCACGATAAAAAAAAAAATCCAGAGTATTTTTCTTTCTTCACTCAAGGAGATTCACTTAAGAGAACTCGATCTTATTTGCAAGAAGAAAAGTGACAAACAAATCTTGAAAATGCAGAGTAGAAAGCAAACGCTGTTTTTCTACGAATGAAGACGACGATGCAGTTGAAATCTTTTCTTTTCTCTCGATTAAAAAAGAACGTCGTGTATATGTGAAAGATGAAAAGTGAAGTTTGCCTTTTTATATTATTATTATATAGCTTCACCAAAGAAACCCACGTGATACCTTTTTCAAGTTGAAATTGAAAAGCTATTCTTACTTTCCCTTTTTTTTTAAAATAAAGCTGAACCCTTTCGTATAGCTTTTCAATTGGTAAAGTTACTTTATTTTTTTCTTATTTTTTTATTTTTTTAGTATATAGAAAGCAAGGAGTAAACTAACGTGACAGTGTGAGTATACAATTTAGCTTGATATGCAATAATATGTATTGTCATGCAATGGAGCTTAGGTAGATACTATATGATATAATATAGTGTGTAACAAAAATTCTAAAAACACATAACCACTTTGTCTTCAAACTCCAACTTCAATTTGAGACTTTTTGTAAACTCTTTGTCATCATCAAAATATGTATTCTATTATGCTTAAGAGGTCTTCAATCTCCCCCTTTTTGATGATGGCAATTTAAACTCAAATTGAAAAAAGTAAGGGTTAGCAGCATAAGATATTTAAATCATGTAATCACATACTCCCCTACAC